ATGCACAGCCACCGCACAGTCACAAATGGCAGCAGCCCAGCAGCGGCAGCGCACACACACCATGAGGCAGTTGAAATCAGTGAAAGGGCAAAAACACACAACGCCCCGCAGCAAGCAAACAGAAAACACACAAGAACACAATTAGAAACAAAACACAGGTAAACAAACAGCAATGAAGTAAAAAATGCAAAAACACACAAAACAAAGGGCTGCACAGTATGGCTCCAGCGCGCACGCACCCATCCTCAAATGTGACTCCACGCAAACAGTTGTGTGAGTGCCATGCATATGAGTGTGTCTGGGGTGCGTTCAACGTGACGGATGCGGGGAGCGGCAAGGAGCACACAGCAGGGCAGCGGAAGCAAGTGAAGCAAAACACAATCATTAGTTTATCCTGTTTAGTACATCGGACCACAGTAGACGCACACAAGTCCCCGCGGTTGAGTGCTGGCACGCACAGCCCGCACACAATTCCTCAGCCCAGAGTGGTGTACGCCAGCGCGGATACGGCGAGCAGCAGCGGGGCACACACCCACGCAGAGCTGCTGAGGCTGCCGTCGATTTCGCGAAGACGTGACGGTGCGCGGGTGGTCGTAGTACTAGGCGTCTCCGTAGTCGTAGTACTTGATGCCTCTGGCGCAGTGCTCGTCGTAGTTGACGCATTTGCCTTTTGAATTTGTTGGACTGGGTCAGCGGATCCACCTGGTTGCTCTTCTGTAATAGGCCCCGGAGATGTTGAATCGGGACTCGCTGACGGAGCCGATCCCGTACCTTTCCCTTTTCCGTTATCGGTCGTCGTGCCTGAATTCGGTTCCTTACCGTCCGTCTTGTTTGGCCCTACCGCATCGTTTTCACCTGGTTTTTGTGTATTACCGTTCCCGGAACTTAATCCTTGTGACGTTTGGCTCTCACTTCCTTTGTGTTCTTTACTGGACGTACTTCGCGACTCTGTCCCAGCGGGCCCCTTAATTTGTGCCTGTTCCTGTACCGTTTTGGCCGGGTCTGCTGAGTCTGAAGTACGGGCCTCTCTATTTGATGTCGGTCCATTGCCGGACGCCGCACCTGCTGCTCCTTGCAAACCAGGCGCATCAAGTGGTTCTTCCGCATCGGCCCTCGTACTGTTTTGCGTACCGGTTTCCGGGCTTTTCACTTTTCCGGAATCGCTTGCCGTGCCTGATGTCACTTCCTCAATGCCCGGGTTTTCTGACCCTACAGCACCGTTCTCACCTGGAGTTTGTACCGTACCGTTCTCGGAAATTGATGTCTGTCCCGTAATGGACACACCTGGCGTGCCCTGACCACCTGCTGCCTCTGACAAAGCAGGGAGCGTTGAAATGCTACCCTTATCGGTACCTTCACCAGTCGCTGTGACGCACACGGACGGGCAGCAGCACAGGGCAAGCACCAACAGGGCGCACAGCAAACGGCACGTCGTCATCGTGAGTGTGGTCGTTCGGTGGTGTGGAGCTGATCTGCACAGTGAGGGACATGGAGAGCAACAGGGGAGACGAGAGGTGCGGCAGACACACACAGAGGGCAAACACACAAAAGAGGAGAGGGCAGCAGCCAGGCATGCACCGTACGCCGCACACCACGCACAACACACACTCCAATCCACAGCAACAGGCACACACACACGCAGCCCTGCCACAACACCAACACACAGATGGAGGAGGGAGAAGCAAACAGGAGCGGCACACAAGGCTCCACCGCATGCACATACGGCGAGAGCGGTCCGTCGTGTCTGCACCCCTCACGGAGGGTACGCACACACACACGAGAATAGGTGCAGCGCACACAGCAACACAAAAGAAAAGAAACCATCGAAAAAGGAGAGATCCCCGCACACCACGTGGATTGTTGGTCCACGGGAAGCGCAGCCACCACCGCAGCAGCAGCCGCACACGCAAAGTCAAGCGCAAGGAATGGAATAAAGCAGCCATTTATTCGTGTTTCTTTTTGGAGGGTGGAAGGTGTCTGCATATGTTGTTATTGTCTTTGCGGAGGGCAAACCTTCATGCCTGCATCGTGTGTTGGGGGTTCCTGCAGTGTGCACAACTGTTTCCTTTTCTTGTGAATTTTTATTGTGTTGGTGCAGCCAATAATTCAATTTGTGTTGTTCCTGCTTTTCGCTGGTAAAAGTGCTGCAATAGATGTTTTTATTTCCTCCTTCGTTGCTGTGGCACCTGATTCCTCACCGTTTATTGCGGTGGAAATGAGAATATGTGAGTGGACTCCCACGCACCAGAACGCACCTTCGCTCCTATTTATTGGTGCACAGAAGGGCATGTGTGTTTGGTGGTGCCTCGACCATATATTCTTGTGGGCGTACATTCCCCTGCAGGCTGAGGGCGGGATGACGCTCCGTCGCGGTGCACTTCCCTCGCATGCCGCCCACTGTGATTCATCATGCATCACCCCCTCACACATTCCGTGGTGCCACACCGTTGATATTATTGCAGCCGCTGTGATTCCGCGTATTTCGCGCATTTCATTGTGCCACAATACATCCGCTCGTGTGGCCGCCGCATCCAAACAGCGGTGCCCAACACCGTGAGCGGCAGTCCACATCCTTGCATTTCCCAGCGCAGTGGTGCTTGACTGTCAGCCAGGCGCCAGACAACACGAGAGTATTGTGCTGGCAGTACAACACACGGAGCTGCAGTGAATGACTCGGGCGGCGACGCATCTATTTGTCGCAAGGCAGTGAAAAGGAGTCGGGCAAAATGATGCCGGCTGCATGCACGACACCATACCCACAGCCAAAGCATGCGACGTGATGTGCGTTTCATTGGTGCTGTGAAATGCCTGCAGACGACGTCACTAGTGGAGGCACACCACCCATGATCAGCGGACAGACAATAATCGGCATGGGAGGCCACAAAAGGCAGCAACGACGCCAGCAGCAGCAGCTCTCTCACTCTCTCTGTTGCCTCCGAGAAGTAATTATTCCACCAGCCACAGCCGGCTGTGCCATCGTGACACTCCATGCACGTCGTGGCTGCGTCAACACATCCTGCTCCCTGCAGCGCCTCAAAAGATGCCTCACTCCGTCCACTAAGTGCATCGATGCGGGCCGTGCCTGGGCTGTTCGTCAGGACCAGAGCGATGTGAGGGTCACCGAGTCGCAGCATGTTTGTTGTGACGTTGTTGCATGGCACCTGCACACACACGCAGCGCCTGCATCCTTCCCTTTTGTGTTCGCCCTCTGCCAGAGTCGTCACACACACGGGCAGCAGCAAATTCATTTCACCCTCGACAATCCAAAATCAACACCGACATCCCTCGCGACGCAAAGATCTCAGTTGCCAGCACGGGCCTCCTGCCGCTCTGCCATCGACGCTGAAACACGGCACAGTGCACGCACTTATTTTCCTCGTGTGCAGTCAGCCGTTTGCTTCACACATTCTCCGACGGGCTGGCGACCACAAAAGCACGCCACAAAAGCCACTGTGATCACACAAGCTCTTGCGATGAGCGTCTGTGTGTGCATGGATCCGCTGCTCACACGTGCTGGCAGGCAGCCTGCAGCCGGTGCCCTCGTGCCAGTTCATCGGCTCCAGCATGGGAAAGAGAAAATGGCCAATTCCTCGTGTACTTATTCCCACCGGCAGTACCAACACGCTGGTCGCCAGCCGTCATTCCTCAGCACATCCAGGAATGCTGAAAAGTGACGTGGAACCGTCAGCCAGCAATGCCACAATCCCCGCACACATGTCGGCTCCACCAGAGAAGACACACAAACTACAACACCCCTCACATGTTTTCCGAACATCATTCCGACACACCGCGACATGCCAAACAGAAGTATTCGTCACTCCATGCACCTCCCCACACAATCAAATAGTCCATGCACCACGCACGGCAGCAGCTCACACCCGTCTAAACAAGTGTTCCTCGGACCAGTGTTATCCACGTGCTGCGGTGGGAAGTAAACAAAAGAGACGGGCCGCCAAACCCCAAAAGAGTGCAACGAATGGCCGCAAGTCAACGGAACGCTGCCACTCAAAACAATTCAGTCCTAATGCCCTCAGCCTCCCACCTTCTCCCACAAAAGCCCCAAGTGCCGCCAATCAAGCGCGCCGTCCAAGAAGTCGCTGTGCAACACCAGGAGGAATCGCAGTGCCACCTGCTGCCATCCGGGTCCGTTGTGGACGCCATGATGAGTAGAAACGCCCATTGGTGCTTCGAAACGACGCTGCACACCTGCGACGCATCATACGGTTTGAGACGCACGTGCCTCACCAGCACCACAGACGCCCACGCGCCGTCGGTACGCCCTACATCGTCAAGGAAGCAAAGGATACGTCAGGGTGGCAGCAAAGCACTCGCTGGCAATTCACGTCGCAGGCATCACCACAAGCAGCTCCAGCAGCGCTGCTGACCGTGGGGTGCCGTGGATCAACTGACGCATGGCGTATGTGGAAAAGAAAAGGACGTGGTGGCTTTACAAGGATACGAGTGGCTGACTCTTTTAGAAGGAGAAACAAAACAATGTGGGAACACACAAAGAGGAATCAGGCGTCCGCAGTCAAAGCAAACCAGCAATCAAAAAAAGCAAGATGGGTGCACTCAACCACAACACAGGCAGAGGATAAAAAATACCAACAACAAAAGCCGAAGCGTGGGGGGCGTCCACCCAGCAGTGGGGACGCGCAGCAACAGGTGGGACGACCAGCGCACACACTCTCATTGCTCCCGTAAAGCAAAACACACACACAGGGAGAGAGAGAGAGAGGTCGCCCACTCAAAGCAACGGAAAAAAAACAGAAACAGTTACGGTGCTCCGCCCATGCAGCCAGGCAGGACGGCAGCGGTGCGTGTGGTGCAAAAGAGAGCACCAACGGGCCTGCATGGGTGTGCATGCATATATACAGTGGGCACATTATGTGTGTGCTTCGTGGGATGAGGTGAGGGCGAGAGTCCATGCAAGGGGACACACACAGAGAGAGAAGGACGAGTGTGTGTGCGGGCGGTGCACGGCTCTCTCTCCCTCACTCTCACGCAGCCACCACCACCGCAGCAGCAGCCGCACACGCAACAACAAGAAGAAGCAAAAGAGGGGAGGTGGTGTGGGAGACCGCGGTGCTGCCGTCACTGTCGCCAGGCATAGCCGTTTCACCTGTTTTAGCGTTTGTGGTGGGCGCTGTTGTGGATCCCGCACTCTGAGAGACCGTATCGTATTTGTTGGCTGATGCAGCTTCACCATCGGAAATACTTCCGAGTGGTGTGTCGCTGTCAATGGAGGGTCGGTTCGGATGATTGTTGGTTGGAGTGCCTTCTGTGCCGGTGCCGGACTGCATGGCCGTAGCTGCCGTGGTGCTGCTGCCGCTGTTGCCCTTCGTTGTTGCACCACGCATTTCTTCAACCGTCATAACCGGCAATCGTGAATCTTCCTCTCCACCCGTTGGTGCGACAACTTTTTCGCCGGCGTCTTTGTTCTGTTCAATGTCTTCTGCGACAGACTGCTGAGAATTCCTCGTGCCATTGCCGTTTTCGCGACTTTTCTCGTCACCACGGCCAGCTGCAGATGTGGATGATGGGTTTCCATCCGCTGCGCTGTTGGGTAATGGAAGCTGCAAGGGACTCGGCAACTCTTGTTTATCTTTATTTACTTGCAAACTGTCTTCTGATGGTGTTATCGTTTCATCTTCATGAGTGCCATTCAATGATGGTGGCTGTAAGCCTTCGTTGTCATGCGACTGCCGGTCCTTCACTGATATCAGCTTGTTTTCAGGCTCTTTCACCTCTTGACTTGTTCCATCACCTTCCTTTTCCTTTTCAACCAATTTTACATCTTCGTTTCTTCTTGCTTTTTCTTCCTCGGCAGCACCTTCGGTTCCTGACACAGTTACTTCAGGAGGTGGTGAGAGAGCTTGTCCTTGAACATTTGGTAGTGGTGTTTCTGGGCCTGCTGTGTGTGATCCTGGCGTTTCAGGGCGCGGTGAATCCTGTGAATCTACACCTTCCCCCACAAGATCACCGGACGCATCAGACTGAAAACCTGCGGATGCCTCTTCACAACCTCCGTCGGCACCGCACCACAGCACGCAGAGGGCACACACCAGCAGCACACGGCCAGTCATCATCATCGCCATCACTCCTGTCACTTGCCTGCAGCCTTCAGCACAAAATAACTTCCCGTCAACGCAGAGCGGAAGCAAAATGAGAGACACGGCCGCTACACCACGCACAGCCACCGCACAGTCAAAAATGGCAGCAGCCCAGCAGCGGCAGCGCACACACACCATGAGGCAGTTGGAATCAGTGAAAGGGCGAAAACACACAACGCCCCGCAGCAAGCAAACAGAAAACACACAAAACAATTAGAAACAAAACACAGCTAAACAAACAGCAATGAAGTAAAAAATGTGAACACACACAAAACAAAGGGCTGCACAGTATGGCTCCAGCGCGCACGCACCCATCCTCAAATGCGATTCCACGCAATCAGTTGTGTGAGTGCCATGCATATGAGTGTGTCTGGGGTGCGTTCAGCGTGACGGATGCGGGGAGCGGCAAGGAGCACACAGCAGGGCAGCGGAAGCAAGTGAAGCAAAACACAATCATTATTTTCTCTTATTTATTTACATCGGACCACAGTAGACGCACACAAGTCCCCGCGGTTGAGTGCTGGCACGCACAGCCCGCAAACAATTCTTCAGCCCAGAGTGGTGTACGCCAGCGCGGATACGGCGAGCAGCAGCGGGGCACACACCCACGCAGAGCTGCTGAGGCTGCCGTCGATTTCGCGAAGACGTGACGGTGCGCGGGTGGTCGTTGTAGTTGGCGCCTCCGTAGTCGTAGTGGTGGTGGTAGTTGGTGCCTTTGTTGTAGTGGTCGTCGTCGTGCTTGTCGTGGTCACCGTGGTCTTCTCGGCCGAATCGTCGGCATTCGTATTTGTTTGGTCTATAGATGGATTATTGCCACTTTTTGGCTCTGTCGTATCGTTGTAACCATTTTTCTGTGCCGTATCGGCCGCCGTACCTGAACTCCCAGACCTACCGGATCCACCCTTTCCCTGTTCTGTATCAGACGCCGGACTTGTTGGACCTGAATTCCCTGGCGTATCGGCCACTCCACCTGTACTTCCTGCGGTATCACTCCTCGTGTCTGATGCTTGTCCCTTATCGTCCGGTTTTTGGGGTCCCGGTAACGTAACTTCCAGACCTGTTGAACTTGGCGCCTTGGAACTATTTGCTGAACCCGGAACACCTGCTTCTGCTGGCTGAGCAGGCGATAAACTGGAGCTGTCCGCATCTTGAGCTTCACCAGTTGCTGTCACGCACACGGACGGGCAGCAGCACAGGGCAAGCACCAACAGGGCGCACAGCAGACGGCACGTCATCATCGTGAGTGTGGTTGTTCGGTGGTGTGGAGCTGATCTGCACAGTGAGGGACATGGAGAGCAACAGGGGAGACGAGAGGTGCGGCAGACACACACAGAGGGCAAACACACAAAAGAGGAGAGGGCAGCAGCCAGGCATGCACCGTACGCCGCACACCACGCACAACACACACTCCAATCCACAGCAACAGGCACCCACACACACACACACACACACGAGAATAGGTGCAGCGCCCACAGCAACACAAAACAGCAAAGTAACGATGAAAAAGGAGAGATCACCGCACACCACGTGGATTGTTGGTCCACGGGAAGCGCAGCCACCACCGCAGCAGCAGCCGCACACGCAAAGTCAAGCGCAAGGAATGGAATAAAGCAGCCATTTATTCGTGTTTCTTTTTGGAGGGTGGAAGATGCCTGCATATGTTGTTATTGTTTTTGCGGAGGGCAAACCTTCATGCCCGCATCGTGTGTTGGGGTTCCTGCAGTGTGCACAACTGTTTCTTTCTCTTGTGAATTTTTATTGTGTTGGTGCAGCCAATAATTCAATTTGTGTTGTTCCTGCTTTTCGCTGGTAAAGTGCTGCAATAGATGTTTTTATTTCCTCCCTCGTTGCTGTGGCACCTGATTCCTCACCATTTATTGCGGTGGAAATGAGAATATGTGAGTGGACTCCCACGCACCAGAACGCACCTTCGCTCCTATTTATTGGTGCACAGAAGGGCATGTGTGTTTGGTGGTGCCTCGACCATATATTCTTGTGGGCGTACATTCCCCTGCAGGCTGAGGGCGGGATGACGCTCCGTCGCGGTGCACTTCCCTCGCATGCCGCCCACTGTGGTTCATCATGCATCACCCCCTCACACATTCCGTGGTGCCACACCGTTGATATTATTGCAGCCGCTGTGATTCCGCGTATTTCGCGCATTTGATTGTGCCACAATACATCCGCTCGTGTGGCCGCCGCATCCAAACAGCGGTGCCCAACACCGTGAGCGGCAGTCCACATCCTTGCATTTCCCAGCGCAGTGGTGCTTGACTGTCAGCCAGGCGCCAGACAACACGAGAGTATTGTGCTGGCAGTACAACACACGGAGCTGCAGTGAATGACTCGGGCGGCGACGCATCTATTTGTCGCAAGGCGGTGAAAAGGAGTCGGGCAAAATAATGCCGGCTGCATGCACGACACCACATCCACAGCCAAAGCATGCGACGTGATGTGCGTTTCATTGGTGCTGTGAAATGCCTGCAGACGACGTCACTAGTGGAGGCACACCACCCATGATCAGCGGACAGACAATAATCGGCATGGGAGGCCACAAAAGGCAGCAACGACGCCAGCAGCAGCAGCAGCTCTCTCTCTCTCTCTCTGTTGCCTCCGAGAAGTAATTATTCCACCAGCCACAGCCGGCTGTGCCATCGTGACACTCCATGCACGTCGTGGCTCCGTCAACACATCCTGCACCCTGCTGCGCCTCAGAAGATGCCTCACTCCGTCCACTAAGTGCATCGGTGCGGGCCGTGCCTGGGCTGCTCGTCAGGACCACAGCGATGTGAGGGTCACCGAGTCGCAGCATGTTTGTTGTGACGCTGTTGCATGGCACCTGCACACACACGCAGCGCCTGCATCCCTCCCTTTTGTGTCCGCCCTCCGCCGGAGTGGCCACACACACGGGCAGCAGCAAATCATTTCACCCTCGACAACCCAAAATCAACACCGACATCCCTCGCGACGCAAAGATCTCAGTTGCCAGCACGGGCCTCCTGTCGCTCTGCCATCGACGCCGAAACACGGCACAGTGCACGCACTTATTTTCCTCGTGTTCCGTCAGCCGTTTGGTCCACACATTCTCCGACGGGCTGGCGACCACAAAAGCACGCCACAAAAGCCACTGTGATCACACAAGCTCTTGCGATGAGCGTCTGTGTGTGCATGGATCCGCTGCTCACACGTGCTGGCAGGCAGCCTGCAGCCGGTGCCCTCGTGCCAGTCCATCGGCTCCAGCATGGGAAAGAGAAAATGGCCAATTCCTCGTGTACTTATTCCCACCGGCAGTGCCAACACGCTGGTCTCCAGCCGTCATTCCTCAGCACATCCAGGAATGCTGAAAAGTGACGTGGAACCGTCAGCCAGCAATGCCACAATCCCCGCACACATGTCGGCTCCACCAGAGAAGACACACAAACTACAACACCCCTCACATGTTTTCCGAACATCATTCCAACACACCGCGACATGCCAAACAGAAGTATTCGTCACTCCATGCACCTCCCCACACAATCAAATAGTCCATGCACCACGCACGGCAGCAGCTTGCACACACCATTAGGCATCCGGCCTGTTCCTCCAATCCTCCTTTCGTGCAGTCCGTGGGACGCACGGCAATGAGGCCGGCACCGCGTGTGGGCAACAAAAAACATGATGGAAAACACGTCACACATGAGAGTGTACAGCAACCGACCATTAAATAAAGGAACAGCAAGGATACTTATTATTCCAGGAAAACAACAAAACCAACAGTAAAATGTAAATAATAAAGGAAAACACGCATGCAACGCGGCACACGTTCTCCGTGAGGAGCCGCAATTCCACACTCTTTGGCTCACAAGACCGCCACAACTCCACACAATCCCAGAAGAAGCAGCAACGCCCAATACACGCACACACGCACAGTGCCGTCAACAGTTAGCTCTCGCAGTGTCAATTTCGCGTCGTAGAGCAGGGCAAAGCAGTCGTCGGGACTCACACCGCTCCCGGAATACTGCGCGGTGAATTCTCGTAATTGGGGTTTTCGTGTCCAGAGGCATTGCGTTGACTCAATCCGCCCGCATCACCCTCAGCAAAAAATCCACTGCCTGCAACGCCATTTACTGAAACGAGAGATTTGTGTCCAGTGGCGTTGTGCTCATTCACCTCGTCCGTGTTATCCGCAGCAACGTGTTCCCTGCCGCCATAAGTGACAGACATGATCCCGGATGCATTCAGCGCCACTACTATTCTCGGACCGTTGGCAAAGGAAAGCCTCTTCTTGGATGCATTCGGGACCATCATTTCCTTCGGATTGGCGGCAAACTCTGAATTCGTCTCGGACGTGTTGGTCGCCGTGTTGGATGCGGGACTCGGATCGACGGTGTTGGGTCTGTCAGCCGCCGCAGACTGTCGCCAATCCTCGTTTTGACGTGGCGGCTCAGCATTAACTTGCGGCGCAGTTGTCCCACCAGATTTTGTGTCATCCCTCCCTTCACGGGGTGGCGGCAACTGACAGATGCCTGTCCGGTCAGCATCGCTGCTCCGTGCAGTCGGATGGATGGTTCCATCGGAGAAATTGACGCCGCCACAATTCATAAGGGCCGGCGTATTTATGTGCCGTCACATTCATCGTGAAGGCAACGGTGGCCCCTTCCTCCTTCCTTGCACAGCTGGCAGCACAGTTGCTAGATGTGTGCACCGCATTGGCCACATGGCACACAGTACCCAGCTCACCATTCCTGCTATGCATGCGCACATCAAAGCCACTGAAAGTATAATTCTCATGCTGAGCCTCAGCACTGGCAACAGAACACTTCTTCCACGCCCACACACACACACACGCGGTAGCTCAGGCTGCCGTCACTCGGAGCACACGACACATCCACCAGCACAACCACCGCATCCGCATCACCAGATAAATGTCCAGGACTGCCAGCCGCTGTCACGCACACGGAGAAGCAGCAGCAGCAGCACGAGAGCGCAAGGACCAACACGGCGCACACCACACGGCGCCGCACCGTCACCATCGTCACCATCGCAGTCATGGTCACCCGTAGTGGAGTCGCTGGAGTCAGTCAGCTGATCGGTGAGACGGAAAGGAAAAGAATGCAACAAGAGGGAGAGGGACGGAGCACCGCGGATACAGCAAGAGAGGGAGAGCAGACAACATGAGGAGAGGGCAGCAGGCCCAGCCGCACAGTTCACACACCACGAGACGGCATCCACGCAAGGAAGGCACACAACGCCAGCAGCCACCCGCCATGCAGCAGGAGAAGAAATCCACCACCATCTCCTCCCAGCTCATCGCTACAGCCCCAGAGAAATAGCAAAAACCCGCGGCCACCACAACAGCCACACGCGCAAGCGAACCCTCATCCATCCTTGACGCGCCACCAAAATTTCCAGCCATCCCGCCCTCAATGGGACACGGAGCCCAACTCAACGCAGCCACACGCGGTGCTCCACACCCGCAGGAAAAGAGACTCGGGCAGCGCACTCCCTCCTCCCTCCTCCTCACTTCTCCTCATGGCCACGGAAGAAGACAACAGCCGCCACACGCAACTGCCAGCATGCACTACAAAAGGAGCAATCAAATCCACCTCAATGTGCATCTTTTGTGTGTGTGGTTGTGTGTGCCTGCAGAAACACAAAGCATAAAAGTAGAAAAGAGGGAGCAGAGTGTGTGGAGAGACGCACAACAAAAATGTACAGCAGAGACGCATGGCAAAAACAACAACAGGAAGAAGACCGCTCAAACTCATGACTGCACTGCAGCCCAAACAGCGGCAATTCACACAAGATTTATTTAAAACAAAAAAACTTTACCCTTCATCTTATATAAACCCCATCACACGAAATAATTATAAATAAAAAAGAAAATAAATCGTCCATTACTGTTCCACACAAATTTAAACAACTGCTTGCCGTGTAGCCACACCAAACTGTCTGCATATATTTTGCCCGCAAAAGAAAATTGAAAAGATATTTAAATGTCTTTCAACCGTCTAACCCTCTGTGTGTCCGCACATCGTTTATATTTCATGGGGCCATCTGCACGTTGCTGCTCCCCTCAGCCCTCTCATTGGCGCGTGAGTGCGGCCCGCAGAGCACAGTCACTCTTCTTGTGCGCATTGGGGACTGAGAGAAGCACGCAGACACGACAGGAGTCGCGTCACTCCATCGGGAGAGTGAGCGCAGAAAAAAAAAGAAAAATCATCGGAGGGAGAGAAATGCTCACGAGGCCGACCCCGAAGGGTGCGCCAGCGTGTGAAATGAACACGCAAAGCAAAACAAATCCTCAAAGAATAACACGGTGGCAGGGTGTGGCTGTGTGTGTGTGTGTGGCGCTGCGGGTGTCTGCCCGCCCTGGCCGCCAAAAACAAAACAAAACAAAAGGGAAATAAATGTGTGCTCCGCCCCAGCGGCCCTCGTCGCACGCCCACACGTCACGGCTCCCTCAGCGCGCCGTTCGTCGCCGCCCCTCCTCATGCGTGCAGCAGGCGAGGCGCACAGGGCCGTCGTCATGAGCGTCTCGGTGGGTGTGCGAGTGGAGCAGTTGGGTGGGAAACACACGGCACCCCTCACAGGAAGAGTGCAGCAAGAAACAATTAAAAGGAGGGAAGAGTAGGAAAGAAAAAACGTCCATAGTGATTGCCCTAAAAAGCAAAAAAGAGAAGGGATAGGCGATGAGAGATTTGAAAAAAAAAAAAAAAGTAAAATCTACCAAAAAAGAAGCAAACAGGAAAATAAATTTAAAATACGCAAAAAAAAAAAAGATTTATGAAAGTAAGTCGTTCCCATGGGGTAGTAATTCTGTTCTCGGGAGGTCGCAATTTTCCCACGCGGCAGCCAGTCACTCCTCACAGAGCCGCAAACCCCCACAGTCCCAACAGGAGAAGGAGCGGCAGTCCGCTCACACGCATGGTGCCAGCGTCGGTGTTATTCCCCTGCGACACATTTCCGAGACTGCTGCTGAGTGCCGTAGCATTTACTTCCCTGACCTGTGAATGGATTCCCTCCTCCTGCCCATTCGTTCCTTCCACCTTCTCCCCATGCCCGCCAGAGCTCACGCTCACCTCAGGAGTTTGGGGTGATCCATTTCCCCGCATCGTATCTCCACTCCCTGTCACCACCGTTGGGCTAGCATCAGACGAGGGTGTCGTAGCAACGGAAGCTGCACTGGATACACCGCCAGCACCAATATTTGCCGTCAACGGTTCCTCTTCCAACGACCGTTGCCCGGCAGAATTAGGCCGGGGCAGGGATACCTGCACATCTGTTGCAATTACCGCTGGTGATTGAGTATCCACCACCAATGTCTTCGGACCTTCCGGCTTCGGAATAGTAATTGTATTTTTGGTAAGCCCTGCAATCTCTTCGGAAGTCAATGGGCGGTTTTACAGCAATACGTTCTCCACGGTCACAGAGACGTCTCCTTGGCCCTCTGCGCTGCCTCCATCCCCTCCAATGTAGAAGTGGGAGATCTTTTTATCTTTCTTATTCTCCAATTCACATTGTGCATCTCCGACACGCTGACCATCAACGTACACGGAGCCCTGGGTGCCGTTCTGTAGCACAATGGCCACTTGGTAAGTTGTCTGTGGCTCCCAAGTGCTGCCGAGCTTCTCTGTCGTTTGGCCACTGCACTTTAATATCCACTTCTTTTCGCTGTTGTACGACAGTCCTAGGAGCACAGGATTATTATTGTCGTCATCCATCTTCGCACCCATCAATGGAACTGTATCTCCTTCCTTCGGCACACCGTCGATGGACACCGTCGTCACAAGAGTGAAGTTGTAGTTCGCAAAGTGGTAAAGCTGATTCTCCCCTTGCTTGCCAACAGGCCACTCCGCCCACGCACCACGTCCTTTAAATGTTACGCCATTTTCCGTTTTCTCAGCCCCTTCTTCCATCATTACTGTAGCATTCACCCCGAGGTAATCGTCCCTCCATGTGCTACCAGACAAGTCGCCAGACAAAAAGCCAACCAGCCCATCCGTGATCTTAACAGCGCTGCAGCCATTGTCAGCTGGGGTGTCCTCCAGAGCACTTTTAAAGGGGCACAGGTTGGAGACACGTTCGTCCACTTTCTTCCAGGTCGCCAGCACCTTCTTCACCCGCTCCAGCTGCTCAGTCAGACGCAGAGAAACCATACCGGGTGATGGTGTCTCCCCTCCGACTTTCTTCTTCTCGTACAGTGCAATCAACTCCTCCTGATGATGATTATTCCCGCTTGTACTACTTTTGTACAACAAGGAGCTGGCGGTAACGTCATCATCACCGGACACCGGCCCAATATCAACAATGTGCGTGTTGTCCGTCAGCCAAAGATGGAGTACGCCCTTTTCCTCATTTTCTTTTTCGTCCTTCTCGGAATACACCGGCAGGGTGACGAGCATCACGTTTCTCTTATCACTATCGACACCGTCAATCGTCGCTGTGATGAACCCGCTTCTAACTCCCTTCACATTTCCCTTGTGTTTGTTGTCCCACACGCGCGAGAGTGTCCCGAGTGCCTCCGTCCACGAATCCCCCTTGTCACCGGACTCGTACACCCTGCGGCGGCCATCATCACACGCTGTCATCATCATTAGTTTTCCCTTCTCCCGCTCCACGACGGAGGGATCACTGCAGCCATCGGCAGACATCCCCTTCGACAGTGTCCAGCTCTCAGTACCCTGCAAGTACAGGACCAACGAAACGGTCTTTCCATTCTCCTTCGTGGCTTCCACTGGGAACAAAAGCGTATCGTCCTCTAAAGTAAGACCCGATCCACCGCCACCAATCAGCCGTGTCAGGGATTCGTGATGTTCGACAGCAAAAATGCACGGGAGACCGTAAGTATTTTTCCAAAGAATTCTTTTTACACTTTCCCCATCACTGACGTTCCCTCTCAACAGCAAGAGTCCCCAAGGAGCCGCGTCAGATGCACCCTGACAAGCAGCGGCACCTTCACCGCCGTATTTTCCAACAAGCATGTAAATATCATTTCCCTTCACAACTGCTGTTGGCCGGCTCACATCTACTTTCCTGCTTGGGGAACCGCCTTTCTCCAGAATTTGTGTATCCTTGGCATCCTTCAGCTCTTCCTCCTTTTCTTTATCCTCTGTTTCCGTGAGTAGTTGGGATGCAATGCCAGTAAAGACGGTGTCTTGAGCCTCCTTGCACTGCGCCTCAGCAACGGCAAACACATCACTCCCCACTTTCAAAAGGCCGGGAACACCCAACGATTCCACAACTTTCTTATCATCAGTGACGTCCTTCCATTCAAACTTCGGATCAGACCACTGATCCTCCTCTGCCTTTGCAGCTCCACCACTGCCGCAGAAGCACATCATTACAACAAGGAGGAGCAGCACCGCGGAAGTAAACACACGCCGGGACATGTTGGGCCTCTGCGGCTCACTCTCTCTTCCTTCCCTCCTCCTTCCGCTGGATCCGGTCACGCGGCGACGGTTGTGTGTGCGGGGTGCCTTCACTGCAGCAACACGTGAGAGCATATAAATATGTGTGTGTGGGCGGTGTGTGTGCTGTGTCCTTTC